TCACGGCCACGACCACGTCCGCGCCCTTGTCCATGGACTCGAGTAGCAGCAGCATCAACCTCCATTGGAACAGGACCATCACTCATAGGAAGTGGAGCTGAAGGACGTGCAGCAAGAAGTGGAAGAGGCGACGTCTCATAATGTTGTGCCAAGCGAAGAGCATCGTCAAGGGTGGTAGGAGCAAGTGCATGCACAAGGCCAACAAGATCTGGACGAAGTGCTGGCCACAACATTCCTAGCTTGATCTGCTCTGACATATTAGGCTCCGCACAAAGCAAAAGACTTCAGAAACGAACGCCAAATTGCATCACCAACTTAGATGGCCCTTGGCAAAGACGATGCAATTGTTGGAAGGCATCGTCACAATCATCGGCATGTCTGAAGGTGCGTTTGAAGACATCTGGAAGAACACTCCAATCCCCACGAGTGGCCGCACTCAATCCATTGTACCACTGCAACGCCGTCCCTTGGAGACACGTGGGAAACTCACAAAAACGTCGAGCATCATCCCAAGAATGATATGTGGCAATCACCGTGAAGTGATCGAACCAATGGTACACATCATCCCTAGGATCCCCACGAAAGAACTCTGGCCGAACGCGAGGATTGGCACCAAGAGCAGGAGGAGTTGGACCATGTGCTGTGAATGCCACCATCAATTGAGTTTGGTTGTTCAATTGCAAACGCATAACATCAAGCAATTGAACCAACTGCTGCTCTAGAGTCAAAGGAGGAGATTGCGGATCGGCCATGAAGATGAACGAAAAAGAAAAAGCAAAAAAAGAGAAATGACAAAAAGCGAGAAAGAAATGGTAGATCTAAACAATGCAAAAAGCTAGATCTAAACCAAAATCCTGAAAAGAAAGAACAAAAGAAAGGAAATGGAAAAAGCTAGATTTAGACGATGCAAAAGCTAAATCTAAACTGAAATCCCAAATCCAAGCACTCCCAGGGACAATCAAAGGTGCCCCTCACCTCCACCAATGTGAGTGCATGGAATATGGAACGGGAATACAGAAATGTGCATATCAATTAGCCCAAAAACCCTAGCTTATATACAGGAGCGAGTGGTCTGGATTGAAACCAATCCGACGGCTACCAAAATTCCATTACGCTAATATTAGTATACGGCATCGTAGCCGTACACTTGGCCCTCACACAGCCAATATAAATACTTGCCCATCTTCTTAGTTACACAACAATATCTCATATGGCCATATAGAATAAAAGAGTCATGGTAAGCATAAAATAAAAATCAAAAGCACCACTAGCCTCAAATGATTATTAGGACCAATCCCCCTAAAGTAAAAAATTGTCTTTAACATGATAAATCATCAACAAATAATATAGAAATTTTAAACTATTATGAATCATTTAGATCTACATCTTAACTTTTTAAGCCTTACAAACCTCACCAAAAGAAGGTAAATGTAGCTCCACACCTTATTGACACTATATATCATGTATAATAGTTGTCAACAATATATAATCCTCATTTAAAAATCCACTTATGCTAGAATAACATATTCATTATCACCTTTTAGCGTTTGAAACTATGTAAGATCAAGTACCATCTTAGACAAAATAAAAAACAATATTAACAACTTTAACAATGTTTGAAATAGTATAGTATGATTAGAAAGATGATTTATAGAACAATCAAGATATTGCACTTTATTGAAGAAGTGTTGCACATTATTTATACACCAAGGGGAGAAGCCTCAAAATCACATTTGGCATGATTATATTGCAATAAATCTATATAAAAGATGAAGTTAAGAGCTTAATTTAGCACCATTCACAATGATTAGAGCTTAAACTCAATATCACCCACACACATAATTCTCATCCCACATACACAAATGTGTATAACTGTTGCTATAGAGAATGAAGATTGGCTCTTCTGCATAGTGCAAATGTAAATGATCAACATACTAAGGAATAAAAGATAAACTCAAATTAATAATGAGTATCGAATGACTTTCTTATGGTATTTTAGAAAGAAGGATGAAGGGGTCACTAACTTATTCATATAATGTCTTTGACTTTCTATTTCTTGAAAGAATCTTAGTATTAAGACCTTCCACTGCAATAGCACTAACATGACGTTATTGATACCAAGACTTCTATCCAAACAACAAAAAGTGCTAATCTGGGAAACATCAACAACATTAATATGTATGGCTAACCTTCTCACATGTTTAGCAACAAACATCATAGCTTTAACCATGTCCTCATTCTTTAGTAGCAATAGCCTTAACCTTTATTGAAACATGATAATTTCCTATAATAAATGGAGCTCAAACACATGCAATTACAAGTGGGAAAAATGATGTTTTATAATGTTATACTAATGAAAAAGTGTCATCAAGGGCAAGTGCATGCACAAATCCCATAAGATCTTAACAAAACACTAATTATAACATACTTAACTTCATATATGTAATGTATGTGGTTTTTACCCTTTATCCTATGGTGATTTACTATAAAATAACTATGAAGCAGAATTTAAACCCTTCATATGCCATATGACACATACCATATACCATGTATCCCAAGGAAAGTGAAGTGGAACCCGAGTTTCAAAGCTTTGGGCTACTGAATGAAAGAACGAAGCCAAACTCCTAAGTATAGAGTTAAGGAGCAAAGGAACCAAAGTATAGAGTGATTTCCAAGCATATAACCCAAGGAGTGAAGGGATAAGAGCACGGAATGACTTGGAAAATCCTAGAGCATTTAACTTCCCAATGCTAAGGCTAGCATGTAAAATGAAGCCAAATAAAGTCTAGAACTATTTTAACATATTAACGGCCTAATTTGAGAATATAGGTACTCCACTAATTAGCATGGAATGGAACTTAGGCTTAAACCCAACCAAACACAGAACAGGGATAAGCATGTAAATAGAAACTAAACTATACCTCAAGTTGGTTAGTTATGCCCAATCTATCCACTATCTTTACTATATATTTAGAACCCCCTACAAACCCCCCCCCCCCAATGCTTTTGGCTTTCACCTTTAACCATCCTTAGTCTTTTACAATATTTTTCCCTATATCATCCCTATATTCTATATGGACTTTCTTCTGAAATGCTAAAGCCCTGCACACAGGAAGTGTGGCAACAAAAAAGATTAACTCAAGATCCTTTAGTTTTGATGGAAATATGTGCTCCAATCTTGTGTTAATGGACATTTCTTCCATGAGATCCCTTGTCCTAAATATAAAATATATTAAGAGAAAGTAAAAATAAAAATTATTTACACTGAATAATGACAATAAAATGCAAGGTAATCATCCAACCAAACTTGATATTCTAGTTTATTTATTCCTTTGAAAACAAATGCCAATAAAACTAGACAACTCACCACGACCATGAAGATATGAGAAAGACTTTCCCAAGGCAACTGATAATATATCTAATGTGATGTACCCTGAAACAAGTATTTTCTCATGTAGTTACCTTATTATACATATAATATAATACGTAAAAAACGAAAGAAAAAAAAAAGCCCAAACATCATCGATAAGAGACCTCCTATTTTTCTGTAGCTCTGACACAATGTTACCATTTTGTGCAAGGTGGTTTTCTTCAAAAATATTTTATAAAATATTGCTGAATATAAAGAAAGAATGTGAAAACTAGAAATCTGCTTACCAATGAACACCCTTATATGTCCATGCGTGGCAGCAAATCAACCCTGAAAAGAGTTGTGCAGAGGAAGGCTGGCTAGAGAGCTCTTTATCACGAACACAAATCTGAAGTGCCCAACATCAACATCAAAACTAATCATAAACGTCATGGAGCTTACCAGGTCTGTTCTTGAGCACTTCTTGGCCTCTATGACTTCTGCGCCTTTGTTGCTAACACAAACCTGAAGTAACATCAAAACTAATCACAAAGGCCATGGATTCACATACCAGGTCTGTTCTTGAGCACTTCTCAGCCTCGGTGCTTGTGACTTGCGCACCTTTCGTCACTAGCAGGAAGTAGCATCATACCCACGGTGCCCCCAAAGTCCTTCACCTCGCATATGGTAGCATGTTTGGTGACCTTGCCCTCAACACCAAGCGCGTCCCATAAATCATCGTCAAAGACCTCACCAGCTGCGACTCTCATCTCCGGGCGGAGCCTCCATGGCTCAAGTTTGCTTGTCATCTCTTGGAAGCGCTGTACAGCATCTCTGGAAAAAAGAGCCCAACCTTGCTATACCCCGGAGATCCACCACCACGCCATCTGCGTCTTGCAGCTCCTTCACAGGATCACGTCCCCTGGCAGCACAAGCCGTCACCAGCTTCCTGACTGACAACGTCATTGGCATGCCTTTGTAGTCCTTGTAATCCACAATCCACTCCAGCGCATCGTACTCCAACAGCGCCCTGGACGGAACCGCGAGAAGAAGGTGGCCGGTGGATATCCGGTTCCGCCACATGGGCCCTTGAACATCAGTCCTCACAGCGCCGGCATCAACATCGTGATGGAGTTTTAGGACCTTAAATTTCGCCGGACGACAACTCCATCGCAGGCCAAGCTCGAACATGGAGATGCAGCCCAGGGCTTCGATGCTCTTGATCTGGCATGGCTTGAGCGGCTCCAGCGATGGTGGCATCTCGGGGTCGTAGAGAAAAGCCGGGTGGCTCCAAGAGCTCGGAGCAAAACTCCATATGAGCAAGCCACAGTGATTGGTAGAACGCTTTCAGGGGGATGTAGTCATTCAATCGGCAAGTGAATTCCCTTTTATAGCAGTCATCGCAGAAGAGAAGCAAGGAAGTGGTGTTGGCGTCGTAGACGAGATTGAGCGGAGGAGCTGTTGTGGCTTCGTTGGCGATTCTGCGAACAGATCGAGCGTTGGGTGCTGCTGCTGGGCAGAAAAGAATGTTAGCCGAGTGTCTACACTGCTCGAATTTGACTTACCTCGGTACAGCATTGACAAAACCCTAAATCTTGAATATTCTAAACGAATCAAATTGACCCCTTAGTTATACGAGGCTTAGCTAGGGTTTCTCTCAGTGCACGAGCGCCATGGTGAAGGGGCGGCTGAACGTCGCCGATGTGGCGGCGGAGGTGAAATGCCTGCGCTGTCTCATCGGAATGCGGTGCGCGAACGTGTACGATCTCACGCCGAAGGTAATCTTCCGTCGACAGGATCATCGGTTCATTTTCTCTCTCTCTCGCATTCCAGACGTATGTGATCAAGCTCGCCAAGAGCAGCGGCCTCACTAGTTCCGGAGAAGGCGAGAGAGCTCTCGTGCTGCTGGAGAGTGGCGTCCGATTGCATATGACCGAATTCTCCCGGTAAGAGATTTCATTCAAGCTTGGAGAGATTCGTGTCTTTCTCCTTTGCAGGGATAAGAGCGTTACACCTTCTGGATTTACTCTGAAGCTGAGAAAGCACATACGAACTAGAAGACTGGAGAATGTCCAACAGCTTGGTGTTGATCGGGTATGGTCACATTGAAAATTTCAAGTAATTCTCTATGATTCTTTCTAGGTGGTGGATTTCCAATTTGGCACTGGAGAACTCGCTCATCACATCATCTTGGAGCTCTATGCTCAAGGCAACGTGCTACTCACTGATGCGGACTACAACGTTCTTACTTTACTTCGAAGTCACAGGCAAGCTTGTTATTTTTATTTTTCTTTGCGAGACATTGTGCTATTACATTTTTCTTCCAGGGACGATTATAAAGGCATTGCTATGATGGCTCGTCATCGATATCCAGTCGAGAATTGTCGAACCTTTCAACGAACGACGATGCAAGACCTGATACGTGCTTTCTCTCCGGATGAGAAGAAGGCCGAACAGCAGGAAGCTCAGCAGACCCCGCAAGATGCACGCTTGCAGAAGAAAAAGGATGACGAGGGATTTACTTTGAAGTCGATCTTGCTAGACAGCTTTAGCTACGGACCAGCGGTGTTTGAGCACGTAATTCTGGACGCTGGCCTGCAACCAAATATGAAAGTTTGTGACGCTTCCAACAGGTCGATGGTATCTGAGAAGGATCTTCACTCGCTACTGGAAGCTATCAAAAGATTCGAAGATTGGCTGGAAAGTGTGACGACAGGTGATTTTACGCCGGAAGGATATATCACGTTTCATCCAAACAAGACTGCCAAGAAGAAGAACGCAGAGTCCGCGGAAGAGAAGGTGGATATGCGTCTTACCTAATGGTCTGAAGTTGATTGTGGGCTTTTGCAGATGTTCGATGAGTTTTCTCCACTCCTATTGAAGCAGAGCGCTCACCGGGAGTATATAAAGTTCGACACTTTTGACGCGGCGCTGGATGAATTCTTCAGTAAGATTGAGGGCCAGCGACTGGACCAGCAGCGAAAGACACAGGAGGATTCTGCCTTCTCAAAGCTTGAAAAAATTCGTGCTGATCAGGTACCGAACACTGCAATAAATTTTAAATGTTCTCAACTCGTAACTGGCATGTAGAGAAGTCGAGTGGAATCTCTGAAACGTGAAGTTGATCAAGCAGTACACACAGCTGAGCTCATCGAATACAACCTGGCTGACGTCGATCTAGCCATTGATGCGGTTCGTGCTGCGCTTGCAAATGGCATGGATTGGAAAGACTTGGGACGCATGATAAAAGAAGAAAGAAAAGCTGGCAACCCCGTAGCAGGACTCATACACAGTCTGCAGCTGGAAAAGAACCACATAACATTACTCCTAAGCAATAATCTCGACGATATGGATGACGATGATAAAACAAAACCCGCGGATAAGGTATGGCTTCAGCAAATCTTATGGTTGTTTGATATGTAATTTTGCAGGTGGAAGTTGATCTTTCTCTCTCAGCTCATGCAAACGCGAGGAAGTGGTTTGACATGAAAAAGAAGCAAGCGCTTAAGCAGGAAAAGACTGTTGCAGCACATGAAAAAGCCTTCAAAGCTGCAGAGAGAAAGACGCAGCAACAATTATCCCAGGTGCCAGACTTGCTATCGTAATTTGTGCTGATTTGAAGTTCTTTCACAGGCGAAGGCTGTTGCAACTATTTCGCACTTGCGAAAAGTCCACTGGTTCGAGAAGTTTAACTGGTTCATAAGCAGTGAGAACTATCTTATCATCAGTGGACGAGACGCTCAACAGAACGAACAAATTGTCAAGCGCTACATGAAGAAAGGCGATTTGTACGTAGTATGAAGTTGATTTCGTGTGTTTCATGTTATGCTTCTGGACCTGCAGGTATGTTCACGCCGATTTGCATGGTGCATCAAGTACTCTAATCAAGAATCATAATCCTTCTCAACCTGTGTCGCCTTTAACAATCAACCAGGCTGGATGTTTTACGGTAACGAGCTGTTTGTTTATCTTTCGCAATGCAGTTCCTTCGCTTTTTTTGTTTTTTTTTTTTTTTTGTTTTGACAGGTTTGTCGCAGTCAAGCATGGGATTCCAAGATCATTACAAGTGCTTGGTGGGTATATGATCATCAAGTGAGCAAGACGGCCCCGACGGGTGAATATCTCACGGTTGGAAGTTTCATGATACGAGGAAAGAAGAATTTTCTTCCACCGTATCCACTTGTCATGGGGTTTGGACTCTTTTTCAGGCTTGATGAAAGCTCCATCCCTGCTCACTTTAACGAGAGGAGAATTAGAGCTGAAGGGGACAACGAAGAACCAGAAGCAGAGATTCAGGACGATGAGGAGATTGACGACGCTAGTGTAGAGGATAGTCAGGACAAAGTTCACGAGAGAAAAGAAAGCGGTGATGGTGGAAGCACGATAGAGAAAGCTAGTGTGACGGAAGCAGAGGAAGCTAGATCGGAGGAAGCGGAATCAGAGGAAGCAAGAGCACCGGAAACAGAGAACGCAGCAATGGATGAGCAGGAGGAACAGGCTCCGCAATCCGACTCAGATATCGATAGCTTGCTTGATAAGGCGCTAGAGCTCAAGTCCGTTCTTCCGTCTCAGGTAGATACGAATAAGTACGGACTGGGTGAAGTTCAAACAGAAGACCAAGTTGATGACGCTGATCAAGAGACAAAGGTAGCCAGGGAGAAGCCGTACATATCAAAAGCAGAGCGAAGGAAGTTGAAGAAAGGTGGAAACACTCAGGAAGTGGCCCAGGAAAATGAGAAAGATGGCATAGAGGAGGGTAGTTCAGGAGCCAAGCCCAGTGAAGGGAGCAACAAGCAGGTCCGCGGGAAGAAGGGAAAGCTGAAGAAACTCAAGAAGTATGCCGAGCAAGATGACGAGGAACGGGAGCTGAGAATGTCCCTACTTTCTGTAAGTTTTTCTCTTTTGATTTTGTTCTTCCTGGAACTGACTTGAAACGTAATTACAAACAGTCTGCAGGACGAGAGAAACCATCAGCCAAGGAGCAACCAGAAAAACCGAGCGTGAAGAATGAAGGTTCGTCTTGTACTCTAATTTTTGTCCTTGAGTTTGCAAGCTTTACAGACGCAGCAAAGAAACCCGTCATTTGCTACACCTGCAAGAAAAGTGGACATGTTGCATCCGAGTGCCCGGACTCGAAGCAAACTGAAAGCGAAATTGCGGCGATCAATGCCGAGGAGAACATTGTGGATCTGGACGAGGAAGAAAGGGAGAAGCTAACGGAGCTGGACGCTCTGACTGGAAGGCCCCTCCCGAACGACATCCTGCTCTACGCGGTACCGGTGTGCGGGCCTTACAGTGCTCTCCAGAGCTACAAGTACCACGTAAAGATCACACCAGGGCCTTCGAAGAAAGGCAAAGGTAAATAGTTACGTGGCTTTCTTTCGCTTGGTGTCATTCGTTTGCTGCTTCCAGGAGCGAAAATGGCTATGGACGCTTTCATTCGTTCGTCGGACGTGCTTCCGAGAGAGAAGGAATTGATGAAAGCGGTGGCGGAGTCGGATCTGGTAGCGTGCATGATTGGAAATGTGAAGGTGAGCGCTCCGGGACTGGCGAAGCTAAAGCAGAGCCAGAAGAGCAGCAAGAAGAAAGCCGCGGTGAAGAAAGATAAAGCTTGAAGACAATTGTAAAGGTACTCTACGACGATTTTCTTCGTTGTTTTTCCCCATGCGTGATAGTTCTAGCTAACGTGATCTTTGCAATGTTAGTATGTGCCTAGAAGGTATTTGAGGGTAGAAACAACCGAGGAACGCAAATACAAAAAGGTGGCAAAGAGGTTTGAGAAAATGTCGAGGCTCCTGGCTGCGTGCATTCTAGCTGCTCGGTATCCCACATCCCAGCCTGGTTGCGAAGCCTGCAAACGAAGCTAACACCCTGTACAAGGAGCTGAAAGCCTTCTCACAGATGTGACGAGCCCGGGCGGTTGCCAAGAAGAAAGCATGAGCCGCTGGTGTATGTGAGGAGCTGCTACAACAAAATCCTCGACTTAATCTGTGCGCACAGTGAGACGTCAGAGGTAGCTTCTGTGGTTGCGCTGGGCACGCTCGATATCAGTGTTGACATGGTTCATATCATCATCTCATGATAATATTAATTACATAGTGTGTCCTCATTATATAATTGGTTATCAGTTTTGATAACCTCTGGTTGATTTTATGATCAAGAGAATTGCCCAGGTCTCTACACATTCTGTCTCCATCGCCACTAGTCCTTATCTCACATTGATTAGTGTATGTGCATCCACCTTTGTAGCCACCCTCACATCCCATACTTCATCTATATGAGTAAGAGATTGTTCAAAAGAATGGTATGGCATTTTTTATGCCTCTACTACCACTCCTGCACTGTCAAACACTTTACATCTAGCCTGGATTATAGTAGTGATGGTCTCTTTTTGTTCCACAACCCACGTCACAAGACAAGACCTTAACTACATGAGGTGTGTGAAGCATACATCCATGTTTGAACTGTGGTACTTGCTAGGGAGTGCTTAAAGCAACAATTTGGAACAATAAATTGTGTGTTAAATGTTAGTATGCAACATTTGTGGCATATCCAATGATCAATACAACTTTTATGACTCAATTTGTGTTTTTGTAAATTCACCTATCTACTCCTATTAACTATGCAGAATTTAAAGAGGGCTGATTTGCCTGTTATAATTGAATTATAATTAAAAAAAAACCAAAAATTTAGAATCTTGACAAGATCTATTTATTGGATTTTACTGAAAATAAAAATCCACGCATCTAAATTATGCTCAATTTATAATTTTTATAATATTAAAGGTTCTTCATACACATCCACGTGTATTGCTATTAGCAAGTAAGAATAAATGTTTTGAAAGGTAAAATTGTGGTTATATATATTATGTTAGAAACATGAACAATATTTATACTAGTGAAGAGTATCCCTCTATGCAAAGAAGTGACAACCAATACAAGAAACGAACTCCCACCGTAGATTGCATGATGTATATGATGCCATAAGGCTACATAGTTTGTTGCATCTTAAATCTGGAGTATCAGCCCATGAGAAGAAGCCATAACTCTCATCATGTGGATGCAAGTAACAAGATACCCACTGCCAGGGTTCTTCTCAAAATGTGAGACATAAAATTGCATTTCCCCACTGCCACATGCACATATTTTCATTTTGTGTATTGCCATAGGTTGCTTGAGCTTACATTCATCACCATGATTTGGAGGAGGAGGATGCAATGGTGATGACTTGCACTTAGAGATTTTAATCTCTAAGGCTTATATTGAGATGGTAAATTCATCCATGATAAGCATTAAAAATGGACTTTATGAAATTTGCACTACAACTTATATATAGAATCCATTTCCTATATTTTTTTAGGTTTAAAAGCTCATAGATGGTCAAGACTATAGTGGACACACTATATGACATAGTGCAAGTGGAGGTGAAGGCAGAAGCTCTAAACTCACTGATCGACACTCCACATGGTGCTCAAGGATTTTTGTGATGACATTCAGATTATATAGGTGGAGGTTGCATACAAAGCTTTTTATGAGCATGAGATTCCATATTATGAGTAAGCTATGCTACATAGAACTTGCTTGTTAGTGACTTTGCATCGCAATTAAAGTTTTTCTTTCACCATTTTGCATAAAGACTCCTCCTTCATCTCTTAGCCTTGCACCTCCTTGTATGGAGGTGCCTCCTCTATTTCCTCATGTGGAAGCACTTCCTTTATCTTTCTATGTTGCACCTCCTCACATGGAGGTATATCCTCCATCTTTTTCCTCGTCTGAAGGCACCTCCTCCATCTTGTAATATGACACCTCTTGGCCTCTTATAATCATGGTTCTGATGCATTGAAATATATAAATATCTAGGTTGAAAGTTTCTACTAGATTATGTTATTTAAAAAAGATAAAGTTCATGAGAACCTATCTTTCTTTTTACTTTTACAATTTTCATATTTTGATTTTCTTGCAATCCATTAAAAAAACCTTGGTAAAAGTATATATGCTATCATATTGATCATTGCCATTGTTTCCACTGAAAACTAGAAAATAAATGAGGTTAGAATTACAATCTTTTAAAATAACAAAAAGGGCATTCTTTTTCACTTAATTTATTTTACTCTATTACTGCAGAACAAGCTTTGAAATCAATGTATTTCAAAGTGAAACCTCAAGATATCGAAAAGAAAAAGGTGGTGGTACCTGTTGTCAAAGAAGAAAAGGAAGAAGAAAAGGTGGTGCCGAAGAGTATTGATCTTTTCAAAGAATTCACGGAAGAACTAATGATGGTGGGTCTTTTCATAATGTTGGCCATACATATATTTTAGTTTATATACAACATAAAGGTGGCAAATACTTAACCATGTAACGACAAAACTATTTTATTATCTAAATGCTCCGGCTAGTTGTAACAAGTAAATTGGCGCCTAATGTAGACAATCTCTTCGAGCATGTCTTGGTACGTGAATGGCCTCACGGCGGCCTTCAATCCAGTCCCTGGCTCGAAGTTCCAGTTCTTGCTCTCATCCCTGTCATCGTCGAGCTGATCGAAGTGGTGGAAATAGAGCTCTCGCGGGTAGCGTCGCAGCGCAGCATAGCTCGGGGTCACCTCCCGGTAGAAATCGCGCTGCCAGGACGTGAGGTTTCTCTTCCGCAGTGGATGGGGCTTGCCACCAAAGTAGCTCTCCTTCATCCTCCTCTTCCTCTTCTTTCGCATCCCCACTTCTTCCTCGTTGCCCTGTTTAGCCGCAATTCCACTTCCTTCTTCTAGAATACGATGATCTCCTCCTGGTTCTTCTTCCTCTTCCTGGGACTCGAAGCTTTCGAGCTGCTCTTCGTCGTATTTTCTAAGCTGTGCCAGCGCTTCACCCAGATCAAGCTCTTGATCACCAGCTTCTTCACTAGCAATATCATCGTCTTCGTCATCACGACCATCTTCTTCTTCTTCGTCATCGCCACCTTCCTCGTCTTCGTCATCGCCACCATCTTCGTCTTCTTCATTTTCATCTCCATCTTCACTACCATGATCTTGCTCGCCATCCTCGTCTTTGCCTTCCTCCTCATCTTCATCATCCCACACACTCTCGTCACTCGCAAACTCAACCTTTCGCCCCGTGGCCTCGGCCTCGGCCTCCTTCCGCCGCCACTCCTTGGTAAACGGATGAAGGAACTGCACGGGCTGGCCATTCATCATATGCTCCAGCACCAGCGATCTCCTCTCTTCATCCAGCCCCACCCACGCCGCCACAATCTCCGCCTCGCTCGCGCTCACCTCCACGCCCAGCCTCTCGCACAGCCGGTAGTAGAAGCTCTTCTTTCTCCTCTCTTCCACGTCCTCGCCCTCGATCCCATCCAGCTCCGTCTCGGGATTGAGAAGCTCGAACAGCCCACGCATGTAATCCTCCTGCGGCTCATATCTACGCAACAAAACGATCAGACAATCGATCGCCAAGAACAAGAGCTCGAGGGTAGTACCTCATCTGATACTCCGGCCTCTTCACCCAGATCAAATCCGGCCGGCACCACGACACACACCTCGTCACCCCGTGCCGCGCCCGAAGATCCACCCTCTCGCCAACGTCCCACTTATCGAGCTTGGCATCGCCAGACTCCACAACGACGTGCGCCGCCAGCGTCCACGTCTTCCACGGCGGCTGCCATCGCCGCGGCTTGCTCGTCCCCCTCACGAACACGTAGAAAAAATGCATCTTGGCCGAGTCCATCATGTCGAGCTTCTTGTCGAAGATCCGGCACTGCTGGAACTTGTGCATCTCCTCCATCTCCTCGTCGTCCCGGACCGACGAGTAGAGGAACACCATGTCCTTGTCGTGTACGGACCCAAACTTGGGCTCGCCGAAGATCATCCCGCGGTGGCGGTATGGCCCGTAAGCTCCATACTTGTAGTAGTCGTCGTTGTAGACGATGTCCGCCTCGGCCAGGACCTTGTCGATCACCTCCGGCGATGGACCCAAGTCCTTGGGCTTCCTGGGACCGTCGAAGCGTCCCCCGGGACTCACCCTCTTCTTCTTCCCGGCGCTCACACTCACGTCTCTTGGAGTTGCTCTTTGGGTGATCGAGGTGAGGGAGATTGAGCTTACCCGAGTGATGGGAGGGATAAATGGAGCTGGATTGGCGCTGTGAGAGCTCCTGAGCTCTTGGCCTACGCAGGGGCTGCCGTTTTGGAGGAGAATGCAAGAGGACATTGCCGAGCCCTAGAAACAGAGTATGCCAGGGGAAGGGAGAAGGAAGGCCAATTCGCAACCGATTCGACAAATTCTCGATGCTAGGGGATGGAACGGGAAGAGATCTGGGAGCCCAACTCTCTGGATCTCGAGAAAGTTCGTGCGCGAGAGAGAATTTTACTGTAGAATCTCTTAAGAACGAGAAGAAAAGCGATTGGGATTTCTTTTTGCCCTGTGAATGGCAAGATTTGGATCCACTGTATTCTTCCGAGGTTGTTCTTCATCGGCATTTGCATCGGCCCTTAAGAATTGCACCGAAGTGTCCGAGGGTACTCTTGAAGAGGAGAAGGAACAAGGTGCACGACGACATCTTGGTGGAGTATGGCCATCAGCCTGGCGGTGGCAACAGCGGAGCCAGCAGGAGCACCTCATTAATATTCCTCCGACCAAATCGTTTCTGCCGGCTTGGATAGATCCACCTATGTTGGAAATCACGTCTTGGAAATGTATGGCAGGCTTGGAAGCGTGGAAGAAGCCCAAGAAGCGTTTGAGAAAGTGTTCGAGAAGAACCACATTTCATGGACACTCCTAATTGCGGCACTTGCCCAGAACGGGCATTGCAAGGACGCACTTGCAACCTTCAAGAAAAAGGATCTGGAGGGTGTCAAGCCGAAGAGGCTCGCGTTCCTGCGAGTGATCGGAGCTTGCTGCGACGCCAGAGACGCATCCGAGGGCAGAAAAATCCATGCACGGGTTCTGGAAGACGCTGTTCTGGCGAGTGATATGTTTTTGAGCGCGGCACTCATCAACATGTATGGGAAGTGTGGCTGCCTGGACGAGGCCGAGATGGTGGTCCGCTGGCAGAAAGGAAAGGAAATCTCTTCCACGAGAAGTATGCCGAGCAAGATGACGGCCCTACTTTCTGTAAGTTTTTCTCTTTTGATTTTGTTCTTCCTGGAACTGACTTGAAACGTAATTACAAACAGTCTGCAGGACGAGAGAAACCATCAGCCAAGGAGCGTGAAGAACGAAGGTTCGTCTTGTACTCTAATTTTCGTCCTTGAAGTTTGTAAGCTTTACAGACGCAGCAAAGAAACCGGTGATTTGCTACACCTGCAACAAAAGTGGACATGTTGCATCCGAGTGCCCGGACTCGAAGCAAGCGAAATTGCAGCGATCAATGCCGAGGAGAACATTGTGGATCTGGGCGAGGAAGAAAGGGAGAAGCTAACGGAGCTGGACGCTCTGACTGGAAGGTCCTTCCCGAACGACATCCTGCTCTACGCGGTACCGGTGTGCGGGTACAGTGCTCTCCAGAACTACAAGTACCACGTAAAGATCACACCAGGGCCTTCGAAGAAAGGCAAAGGTAAGTAGTGGTTTTCTTTCGCTTGGTTTCACTCGTTTGCTGCTTCCAGGAGCGAAAATGGCTATGGACGCTTTCATTCGCTCGTCGGACGTGCTTCCGAGAGAGAAAGAATTGATGAAAGCGGTGGCGGAGTCGGATCTGGTAGCGTGCATGATTGGAAATGTGAAGGTGAGCGCTCCGGGACTGGCGAAGCTAAAGCAGAGCCAGAAGAGCAGCAAGAAGAAAGCCGCGGTGAAGAAAGATAAAGCTTGGTAGACAATTGTAAAGGTACTATAGGACCATTTTCTTCGTTGTTTTCCCCCATGCATCCGTGATAGTTCTAGCCAACGTGATCTTTGCAATGTTTGGAGAAATATTGAGACAGTCATGAGGCCAAAATATCCGACTGCGTGATCCCTGCTTCATTGCAAACATCCTGCAATAGCGAGCACGCCGACGAATTCCCAGGCGATAGCTCGATGATTCTCTCTGCCACCATCACGGCCCTCTGGAGATCATGATGGATTTTACAAGCATTCAGCAGTGCGATCCAAGTCGCGGCGTTTGGGGGGAGATGCATCCTCCTCTCGATGAAGTCCAGCACTTGCTCAATCCATCCGGCTCGCGCCAGAAGATCCACCACGCAGCTGTACTGCTCCAAGCTCGGCGTCATCCCACGCTCCCTCGTCATAGACACGAAGTAGTGGCAGCCTTGCTCCACGAATCCGGCGTGGCTGCAAGCGAAGATCACGGTCAGGAACGTCACCTCGTTAAACTTGACGCCCTCCATCTCCATCCTCTGGCCGAGCTTGAGGGAGTCCTGGAATCGAGCGTGCTTGGCATAGGCCGCGATCATGCTCGTCCATGTCACCACGCAAGAGCTTTGCCAGCGCTGGAAGATCTTCTCGGCATCGACGAGGCTGCCACACTTGGTATACATGTTTAGCAGCGAGCTCCTCACGTTTGGATCGTGCTCGAGCATGGATCCCCGGATTTCCAGATGGATCACCTTTCCTCTAGGCAGATCGTTAATCCGGACGCAAGCTTCCAGGACGTTTGCGAGCGTGATGGTCGTCGGAGAGGACCCCGAGAGGTCCATCCTCGCGAACAAGTCCAATGCGCTCTTGCCATCTCCCTGCTGCGAGCAAGCTCCGATGATCGAGTTCCACGACACGGCGTTCTTCCGGCGAGCGTTCGCGAAGATCATCTTCGCGTCGGGCAAGCTTCCACACTTTCCATACATGCCGATGAGCGCGTTGGTGACGATCACGTCCGATGAGTGCCCGAGCTCGATCAAACGAGCGTGCATGGCTCGCCCTCGATCCAGGAAATCCGAGCTCCAAAACGCGGCAACTACGCTCACGAGCGTCACCTTGTTGGCTTTGATCCCTCCCTGCTCGACCCGGTGGAAGACATCGAGAGCGTTTTCGAGAAGACCGTGCTGGCAGTAGGCCGAGATCAAGGAAGTGCACGAAACCAAGTTGTTCCAGCCGCTAGCTTCCAGCATCCGCCTGGCTTGCTCGAGATTTCCACACTTTCCGTACATATTGATCAAGCATCCGGTCACCACCTCGTCGCTGCCGAATCCGGCCTCGAGAGCTCGCGCATGGATCGCTCGGCCTTGCTGCTCATCGCCACCATCCGAACAGGCATCGATTCCACTCACGAATGTCACGCCGCTCGGCTTCACTCCCTCCAAACTCGTCCGGTTGAAGAGCTCGAGAGCTTGCCTGTTCTTGCCGCGCTGGGACAACGCAGCCACCATTGCGTTCCATGGGACGTCCTCCGGTGGATTCATGCGGTCTAGCAGATCCATGGCCTCCTCAAAGCACCCGGAGCTTCCATAGAGATAGACGAGGCGATTGACGAGCGCCAAGTTTGAGCCGAGCCCGGACTCGAGGATCTGGGAGTGGACGAGCCTGCCTTGTGGGAGAGATTTCTCTTCCAATCCAGTGCAAGCTCTCAGGATGTTCTTGAAAGTTGACGCGTCTGGTTTGCCTCCTTCCACCAGAAACTCCATGTAGATCTCCAGCGCCAGATCAAACTCTTCGTGCTCCACGTATGCTCTTATCATCGAAGTCCACGAGAAATCGTCCTTGGAAGCGATGGAACCAAACACCATCTCGGCCTCGTCCAGGCAGCCACACTTCCCATACATGTTGATGAGTGCCGCGCTCAAAAACACATCACTCGCCAGAACAGCGTCTTCCAGAACCCGTGCATGGACTTTTCTGCCCTCGGTTGCGTCTCTGGCGTCACAGCAAGCTCCGATCACTCGCAGGAACGCGAGCCTCTTCGGCTTGACACCCTCCAGATCCATTTTCTTGAAGGTTGCAAGTGCCTCCTTGCAATGCCCGTTCTGGGCAAGTGCCGCAATGAAGAGTGTCCACGAAATGTGGTTCTTCTCAAACACTTTCTCAAACGCTTCTTGGGCTTCTTCCACGCTTCCAAGCCTGCCATACATTTCCAAGACGTGATTTCCAACATAGGTGGATCTATCCAAGCCGGCAGAAACGATTTGGCTGTGGATGTGCTTACCCTCGGACACTTCGGTGCAATTCTTAAGGGCCGATGCAAATCCCGATGAAGAACACCCTCGGGAGAATACAGTGGATCCAAATCTTGCCATTCACATGGCAAAATGAAATGCCAATCGCTTTTCTTCTCGTTCTTGAGAGATTCTACAGTAAAGTTCTCTATCGCGCGCGAACTTTCTCGAGATCCAGAGAGTTGGGCTCCCAGATCTCTTCCAGCTCCATCCCCTAGCATCGAGAATTTGTCGAATCGGTTGCGAATTGGCCTTCCTTCTCCCTTCCCCTGGCATACTCTGTTTCTAGGGCTCGTCAATGTCCTCTTGCATTCTCCTCCAAAGCGGCAGCCCCTTCCTAGGCCAAGAGCTCAGGAGCTCTCACAGCGCCAATCCAGCTCCATCCATCCCTCCCATCACTCGGGTAAGCTCAATCTCCCTCACCTCGATCACCCAAAGAGCAACTCCAAGAGACGTGAGTGTGAGCGCCGGGAAGAAGAAGAGGGTGAGTCCCGGGGGACGCTTCGACGGTCCCAGGAAGCCCAAGGACTTGGGTCCATCGCCGGAGGTGATCGACAAGGTCCTGGCCGAGGCGGACATCGTCTACAACGACGACTACTACAAGTATGGAGCTTACGGGCCATACCGCCATCGCGGGATGATCTTCGGCGAGCCCAAGTTTGGGTCCGTGCACGACAAGGACATGGTGTTCCTCTACTCGTCGGTCCGGGACGACGAGGAGATGGAGGAGATGCACAAGTTCCAGCAGTGCCGGATCTTCGACAAGAAGCTCGACATGATGGACTCGGCCAAGATGCATTTATTCTACGTGTTCGTGAGGGGGACGAGCAAGCCGCGGCGATGGCAGCCGCCGTGGAAGACGTGGACGCTGGCGGCGCACGTCGTTGTGGAGTCTGGCGATGCCAAGCTCGATAAGTGGGACGTTGGCGAGAGGGTGGATCTTCGGGCGCGGCACGGGGTGACGAGGTGTGTGTCGTGGTGCCGGCCGGATTTGATCTGGGTGAAGAGGCCGGAGTATCAGATGAGGTACTACTCTCGAGCTCTTGTTCTTGGCGATCGATTGTCTGATCGTTTTCTTGCGTAGATATGAGCCGCAGGAGGATTACATGCGTGGGCTGTTCGAGCTTCTCAATCCCGAGACGGAGCTGGATGGGATCGAGGGCGAGGACGTGGAAGAGAGGAGAAAGAAGAGCTTCTACTACCGGCTGTGCGAGAGGCTGGGCGTGGAGGTGAGCGCGAGCGAGGCGGAGATTGTGGCGGCGTGGGTGGGGCTGGATGAAGAGCGGAGATCGCTGGTGCTGGAGCATATGATGAATGGCCAGCCCGTGCAGTTCCTTCATCCGTTTACCAAGGAGTGGCGGCGGAAGGAGGCCGAGGCCGAGGCCACGGGGCGACAGGTTGAGTTTGCGAGTGACGAGAGTGTGTGGGATGTTGAAGATGAGGAGGAGGAAGGCAAAGACGAGGATGGCGAGCAAGATCATGGTAGTGAAGATGGAGATGAAAATGAAGAAGACGAAGATGGTGGCGATGATGAAGACGAAGGTGGCGATGACGAAGAAGAAGAAGAAGATGGTCGTGATGACGAAGACGATGATATTGCTAGTGAAGAAGCTGGTGATCAAGAGCTTGATCTGGGTGAAGCGCTGGCACAGCTTAGAAATACGACGAAGAGCAGCTCGAAAGCTTCGAGTCCCAGGAAGAGGAAGAAGAACCAGGAGGAGACCATCGTATTCGAAAAGAAGGAAGTGGAATCGCAGCTGAACAGGGCAACGAAGGAGAAGCGGGGATGCGAAAGAAGAGGAAGAGGAGGATGAAGGAGAGCTACTTTGGTGGCAAGCCCCATCCACTGCGGAAGAGAAACCTTACGTCCTGGCAGCGCGATTTCTACCGGGAGGTAACCCCGAGCTATGCTGCGCTGCGACGCTACCCGCGAGAGCTCTATTTCCACCACTTCGATCAGCTCGACGATGACAGGGATGAGAGCAAGAACTGGAACTTCGAGCCAGGGACTGGATTGAAGGCCGCCGTGAGGCCATTCACGTACCAAGACATGCTCGAAGAGATTGTCTACATTAGGCGCCAATTTACTTGTTACAGCTAGCCGGAGCATGTAGATGATAAAATAGTTTTGATTTTAAAAACTCGATACAACTTATAGATGGTTTGCCACCTTTATGCATAAACTAAAATATATGATGACAGCTATGACAAACATTATGAAAAGACCCACCATCATTAGTTCTTCCTTTTCTTCTTTGAAAAGATCAATACTCTTCGGCACCACCTTTTCTTCTTCCTTTTCTTCTTTGACAACAGGTACCACCACTCTTTTCTTTTCGATATCTTGAGGTCTCACTTTGAAATACATTGATTTCAAAGCTTGTTCCGCAGTAATCCTCTTGTCTGGATCCCAAACTAATAAACATCGCAGCAAGTCCACTGCATCCTCGTCTTCAATCATCTCATACCAATCCCACTTCAAGAACTTTTTCATATTGTCCATCACCTTGGCCTTGTTTGCATCGCAGCTCAAACTCAAATCAATACCTTCAAGAAAAGGGTTCTCTCCTAAGAGCATATTTGCAAGCACAGCTCCAACACCCCACATATCCACACCTTTCCCTATCTTCTCCGTCTCTCGGGAGATAACTTCAGGAGCAGTGAATCCCATTGATTCACTGCTCCCCATAGTATCTACATTTGGTGGAGTTGATAGCCTCCTTGAGCAGTGAAAATCTCCCAGCTTCACCACAAAGTTGCTATGATTGAGCTCGAATCTGATACAAGCGGGCACAATGTCCTGATGCACAACCTCTCGCTCGTGCAAGCTTGCCAAGCCCACCAGGAGCTGCCGTATGGTTTCTTTGATCAACCCTACGTCAGAGAGTTTGTAGTAGAATCGCTCATACTGGAGGTCCCTGGCATCGCACAAGTGCTCTAGAACCATATAATCTCCATCCTCTTCTTGGCCTATGTCGAGAACTCTCATTATGTTCTCATGCTTGCACTCCTTCATGAGCTCAACCTCTCGGACCATGTGATTATAGTTGTATAATTCACTATCAATCTTCTTGATTAGAACTTTATCGCCTTCTTGGTTACGACCTTCACTCACAATATAAAACCTATCAATCGTTTGGATACCATCACAAAACCTATACTTCCCTAGCACCGTCTTCTTCAACTCCATCACACAAACCTTATTAGTCCTAGCACACAAACCCTATTAGTCCTAGCGTTTTTATAGTGCCCAACGAAAGGGAATCTCAAATAGAACAATATATGATACAAAAGAAAAATAAAAATGAAATAGAAAAATCAAACGTACTGGCCAAGCAATCTTCTCCGCGCGCTCGCATCGCCATGGTAACATGTATCCACCAAGGGAAAGGCCGAGAATGCGTCATTCTCCTTGAAACAGCATGCCACTGCCGTGCCACTGCCATTATAACTCCACTCGGGTTGCACCAGGTTGCTCGCAAAGCTATCGTTCGGAGAAGAAGAACAAGCTCCTCCTCCTCCTCCTCCGCCACCGCCACCACCACCTCCTGCCGCCTGATCACCACTACTCTCCTCCTGCTGCTGCTCTCCATAGCACCTTTCCATGATCGGGCTGAGCGCCCTGTCCACCGCCGACTCCATGCTCATCATCGTCTCGTACCCGGCTGGCGCCGTCTGGAGCGCGCTGATCTTCTCCAGCTGCCGCTGCATGTCCCGCTCCCACCCGGCGCGCAACCCCTGCTGCTCCTCCATCCTGCTCAGCAGCTCCACCTTGTCCACGATGGCTCCCTCCTCCGTCGACTCCGCCTCGTACGCCTCCCGCAGCTGGCGCGCCAGCCCCTCCTCGATCTGCTCCATGGTGGCCAGCCTCGTCGACAAGCTCCGGAGAGCTTGCCTCACCTCCAGCGTCGACGGTGCCGTCGCGGGGACTGCCGCCAGAGCGTTCTCCGTCCGCTGGAGCCTGCTCCGGCTCGCTTGCCTCGCGTCCAGCAGGCTGCTCATCACGTTCTCCAGCCTCCTCTGGCTCGGCAGCCGCGGGGGAGGCCTGTGATCCTGTGCTTGATTGCCCAGCCTGCTGTAGCTCGCCAAGTTCCTCCCGCCAATCTCGGTGCTCTCGCTCTCGTCTCTCTCGCTGCCGGCTTTCGATCCCGGCCTGCTTCGCATGGGTTCCCAGGAGCCGTTGTTGCTGGTGGCTGCGTAACTCTGCAGCTTGTCGTCGAGAGCCTTCTTCATGCTTTCTAGTCGTTTCATCTCGGATGAAAGCTGCATCTCTCGCGCGGTGAGGGAAGTCTCTATCTCCTTTTTCTTCTCTGAGAGAAGCCTGCGCTCTTCTTCCAGCGCTTCCCTTTCCCTGTGAAATATGTTACTCATGCATCATGCCAACTTTACTGACGTACCTGGATGCCTTTTGTGCAATAAGAGACGCATCCGCCACCATTTTCTTGCTGGCCTTGAGTTGGACTGTCAGAGTTGATTTCGCCTCTTGCACTGCTAGCTTCGTCTTTTCCTGTTCAAAGCATTGAGTTCCAAGTAGGTGTTTTATATGCTTACCAGCTCAAGTTGTTGAGCTTTCAAGTTTTCTCTTTCCCTGACGAGGTTAGTCGCTTCACTTCGTGAATGCCCGTCCTCAAGAGCGCTCTCGATTGCATTTATCTTGTCGCTAAGAGGTAGCAGCTGCCTGTCGTTGAGATCCTGGAATGCAATGACCAAAGTAACATGAAATGATAAGTTGTAGTTTTCGCGCACCCTTCTATGTAGCTCGAGAAAGTTTTGTCTGTCCTGCATCGCCTTCAGAGATTGTTCTTTCTCGTCCACTTCACGCTTTCTTGCGTTGAGCTTCGTTGCCTCTTCCTTCAGAGACGTGACAGCGGAATCTACTGCCTTTTGTCTATCCTCCACATAACGCCGCTGAGCATCCAGTTCTGAATGGGCTTTTCTTAGCTGCTGCTTCAGTTCCTCAGCGTCGTTCTCGATTTGTGTTCTTCCTTTGAGGAACTTGCACTCCATCTCGAACAAGGATGACTCTTTTTCAGCCGCTTTAAATTCCTTGTCACGAAGCACGTCCATCAGCTGTGCGGTTTCGTTGCGTTGCTTGTCAAGTCTCTCCTTCATCTTGTTGATCTCCTCCCTCTCCTTTGCTTGGCTCATAAGCTCGGCCTTTTGACTCGCAGCCAGTTGTTCAAACTGCGTCCTCACAGATCCCAGGTATTCACGTTGCTTTGATAAAGCCGCTTGTTCTTCTTTCAGCTCTTCCCATGCTACAGACAAATATATCAGTAAGTAAAACAACAGAGAGAAGAATCGCAGCTACCTTTCTCGAGTTCGATAGACCGCCTTTCAAGGCTCTCAACTCTTCTCATTCTATCCTTGACCTCAACCTCCAGTTTCAAGAGAGTGCAGCTTTGTTCTTCAAGTATTTCCTCTTTCTTCTTCAGCGCACTTTCCACCTTTGCCATCTCTCTTCTCTTTGAGAGCAGAGTACCTCCTTGTTCTTCTAATCGTTCTTCCTGGAATTACGTACAGTTTAGAAATGAAAAGCACAGAGCGATGCTACCTTTCGTCCTAGTTCCTCTTCTTTCTCTTTCATCTGCCTTTGCTTCGATAACAGACTTTCAGCTACCGCTTCAAGTTGCTCCTGTGATGTGGCAATCTGCTGCCTTTCACCTTCTAGCTTCGATGACGCCTTGTCCATAATCATAATGTGATTAATCATCTCCGCTCCAGCCCTTTCTATGTCCCGTTGTAGAACTCTCTGCATAAATCACCCCGGACGTTAAAGACTTTGATACCAGGTTTTTGACTTAACCAGTTTTCTGTGTTGGTCTTCAAGACCATTTTTTTGTTCCAGTAAAAACAGCAGCTTTTCTTCTTCTTCTTTCTTGTACTTTTCAAACTTCTGCTTCTCATTTTGCAAGTGATCAAACCTTCTTTGCAATTCAGAAGTCCTGCCATCGAGGTCTTTCCGAACTACTTCCAGATCTTCAATTTGAAGCCGATATTCATCCGCTTGCTTGTTCACCTGATCCAGATTTCTCGCTTGAACATAGAATCACAGAAATGATGTAAACTCACCTTCTGGTGATGACCTTGCTGTCTGATCTCCAAAGCTTTCTCGGCCTCCTGGATCCTGGCTTCCATCTCGGTCAGCCGCTTACACTCAGTAAGGACCTTCTTTCTTTCCCGATTAAGCTTTTCCAGCTCTCTTCTTGCTTCAAAGGATTTGGTTTCCATTAGCATTTCCTTGCGCTTAAGATCCTCCTCTTCAGCCATAATGGCTTCCTGGTCTTTGATAAGCTTCGCATGCATCGTATGAGACCGCTCTTGCTCTTTGACGAGTTGAACCTCGAGTTCCTTAAGAAGCGTTTCCTGCTGCTGCAAGTCCTTTTCTTTGTCTTTCAGGCTTTCTTCCCACGCTCTTAGCTTCTCTTCCGTCCTCTTCAAAGCACTGCTCGATTTCTTGCGTTCCTCGGATGCTTGAGAGAGTATCTCCTGAGCATTTTTCTTCGAGAGCTCGTTCTCGACCTCGGCAACATGCAGCTTCTTTTTCTCCCTTTCCAGACTGTGGGACACCTCTTGAACGTGTCTCTTCTCTTGTTCGGCCTTGCTATGGAGGTCATTCAACGCCTTCTCTCGGACTACCAGCTTCTTCGAGAGGTTTTCGGTCGCCAATACCTTCTCCGCTAGATCGGATTCCATTTCCTCAAGGTCCCTCTCCTTCTCTTTGAGACGCTGCTGCAACTCCTCAATGCTCCTTTCCTTCTTGTGAATTCTTTCCTCGCGAGATCCAAGATGTCTCTCTCTTTTCTGCAGCTTCTCTTCAGACTCCTGGAGGCTTCTCTCTCGTTTCTGGAGTACATTGTCGCGCTCGGCACGATCAATGTCTTCCTTCTGAAGACTCTCTTCTAGTTCCCGCACGTTCCTTTCTCTCTTCTGAAGAAAACTTTCACGTTCATCGAGCTCGTTCTCCTTTTTCTGAAGTCGATTCTCCAGCTCATGGTGCAAAAACTGTTTGCACGAAATGTCAGATCATGCACAAAAAGTAGCAAGGGATTGGACCTTTTCACGTTCTTGGAGATGTGAAACCCACTGAACGAGCGCATCCCTGTCTTTCACCAGGGAGTGGCGTTCCTCAGCTGCCACTTTGTTGTTATCCTCCGCATGTTTTTTCATTTTCCTCGCTGCCTCGAGTTCCTCCGCCGTGTGCACCTTTGCTTCAACAATGTCCTCTTCTAACTTCAGCACACGCATAGACTCTTTCTCTAGTGAAATCGCCCATTTTTGCAGCATCGTTTCTTTCTCCAGGTAAGAAACCAGGCGCTGGCATACTGCGGATACTGTGTCGCACCATTTCTCTGGACTGCTCGCCCCGGCCACCCGAGGAAGACCACTGAAGCCCGTCTGCTTGCTCGACGTCAGCAATTCCAATTCGGAAAAATGCTTCAGCCCTTTACTAGACTCCGGACTGTCGTTCCATTCTTTCCATGCCTTTCCCAGGCTCTTTTCTTTGCTTTCCAGCTGCGAGAGCACCTTAAGTAGGGAGGCATGCAGAGATTGTAGCACCGTTTTCCCTTCGCAGTCGTCGTTCTCCTGTGGATTGCAAAAGTGAGATTCAGTAACGCATTCGCACATTTAGCTTACCACCACGGCGGTAGATTTCGCAGCGGTTCTATGCGGCGCAGATGGTCTTTTGTTACTTAGTGACCTGCATAGAAACGGAGTAAGAAACATACTGTTTCGATGAAGTAGAATTTACCTTGACGACAAACGCTGCTGTTGTTGATTGTTTTGTTTCGAGGACGTCTTGAACGTGCTATCAATGTCCTCTGCCACGAATCCAGGAGGAGGGGATCGCGATTGGTGTGTATCCATGCACACCACTGGAGTATCACCATCTTTCCTGTTTGTTGTCAAAAATGCTTGGGAGCTCTTGTACCCGGAAGTTTTCTTCGGAGACGAAGAATCCAAAATGGCCTCTTTGATCGGCGTGACAGGCTGCGAGAACAAGCGCTTCCTCCTGGAACTCAGCGGATCACTGTGGCCAAAACCACCGGAACTGGATCCCGAGGACGACGAAGAAGTTGACAAAGACGACGACGAACTTAGTGGAGAATCCGGCTGGCTGATGTTGATGTTGTCCTCGTCCGCTCGATTTGGTTCCCCGAATGCTGGACTCTTGGAGAGAGCCCTTGGAGGAAACGGCTTCAAACGCGGTAGAACGATGTTTGATTGCCTGCCAACTAGAGAGTCCTTTGGGCATTCACTGGGCGCCGAAGAAACGTTGTTGCTTGCGTCGAAGGAGGCCAAGGAGGATGGAAACTCGATGGGTTCTTCCTCGAGGTCCGGAGTGGAAGATCGCTGCTGGAAGTCGAGCCACTATAAACAGAAGAAAACTTGAAAAGTTTCAAGCGCCAAGAAGATAATCCGCGCCTACCTGGCTCTCCAGCAGCTCAAATCGCTTGGCTATGTCGTTGGAAGACATTTCGGTCATCATGGCGTCGGCGCCAGGAGCAATGCCTTCCATCGATCGTCACAAAGATAGTCCATACACTTTCTTGACCTACATTCTTGCTGCGACAAGGAATCGAGCGCGAGCTTAGTGGCAGCGCGATCCATCCACAGCTCGGCGAGGAACCCCAGCCCGCGCATTTCCCAGCATTCCAGTTTCCATGGTCCGCCAAGTGCCTAGCCCTAAATTCCTACGCTGCCACGTGGCTCCAGCTTTTGTTCTACTCGGGCATGAGCGGGAAGGAGTTGTTGGCGCGCGGACGTGCCGGAGTGGTTAACGGGTTTGACTCGAAATCAAATGGGCTCTGCCCGCGCAGGTTCGAGTCCTGCCGTCCGCGGTCTAATTTTTGCTGGAAGCCTTTTTTCTTACCGAAAATTGAAATAATGAAATTAGAATATTAGTTTAAGAAGATCGATTGCTTAAGTAAAAGTGGATATACCTAAAATATGCTAAATATTCTAGGACCATTTAACAGTTGTTATTCATTTAGATTAAATTATTATTTAAAATTTATAATCTTCCTCAAACACTTTGTAATATATTCTAATTTATTTTATAATCTAATGGTTGA